GATTTAAAATGGCCCAAGTAGGCAATACTAGCCCATTCTTTATTAGAAATTCCTCTCATATTATTTCCTCCTTTTCTTTTACACCCGTCCAATTTTTTTTCTCTTTAAAATTTTTTCTAATATTATTCTTTTACCTACTTTTATTTATTACCCCCTTTCTCATTCGTTATTTTTCTCCCTTCTTTAATTCCTACTCCCTCCATTTTGAAATATAAGGCGTATAAAGATTTCTCATTTTTTTTGAAATATAAGGCGCGCTCAAAAATCAAGACAAATTTTTGCATTTTTTTCCAAATATACCCTCATTGTGTTGAAATTAAGGAAGTGTGGAGTGGTTGTGATTAGAGTAAATAAGGTTAATTTAGTCAATTTATTCATTAATTAATGTCTCCTTAATATTTGTGCAATAACCTTAAATGCCTTATATTTCAAAATGGAGGGAGTATATCCAATTATCCCTCTTCAAAAATTTTACGAAATGACCAGTCATCCATCAATTGATATATTAATCCAACCTATTTATTATAGGACACACATTAATACTCAATTAAGGCCACACTAATCTTCACACTCAAACAAATATTTTACAAATATTTCATTTTCATATATAATAATTATTACAAATATAATGAGCAGTCCATGAGCATATTCCAGTCTCAGCATTGGAATATTATTGATTTTGTATGTGAAGTCCCAAAAGCCAAAGGATCATGAAGAAATCCACAAATTAAGAAATTACAGAGAGAGGCATTGTCGACTCAAAAACGAGACAGAAGAAAGTACGAAAATCGTGCACTCTTGACAATTTCTCAGCGCCTTCCGGAAGCTACTGATTCGGTCGAGAAGAGATACTTCACCCTTGAAAGAACAGAATCATGTGCTGGATCATAAGGATGGTCCTTTGATGGAATCTCCAAGATTGCAGGGATTGGCTTGTTATAGCTGTCCACAACAAAACGTATCATGTTTGCAACCTGAATCAAACAAACGATGCAAGAGTTTAATAATTTCAGAACAAATTGTCATATTCCAGAACAGCAAAAACCAGCTCATTCAACAACCACAACAACAAAACATAGCCTTTAGTCCCAAGCAAGTCGGGGTAGGCTAGAGATGAAACTCAAGAGAACCATCGGTAAGAAAAACCAGCTCATTCGAGTTTTTTTTTTATTTATTTATTAAATCTATCCAGCAAAAGTGGAGGGCGTTGTTCGTGTAGTTTTGAAGGATAATTTCGGCTTGTATGTAAAAAGGAGCTTACAATGAAAAGCTGAAAACTTACAAATTGGCTGATTAGCACCACAGCAATGTCTTCTCTTGTTGTGAATTCTTTGAATGCATCTTCAATCTGCTTTACCGTTGTTTCTATACCAAAAGCAGGGAATTTAAATGACCCAACACTTTATCACAAAGATTTTACATAACGCATTCAATGAGAACTATTGAATCATATTTGTTAAGATCTTCGGATCTCAATTGTATTCCAGATGACTAGAATAAAGAAATTGCATTTAATAAGCATATATTGCAAATTACTATAACATAAATGTTAGAAACAAGATCACAACCAAATTATCAAATATCATGATCATATTTTTTGTCTTCCACAAACCTCCACTTCAAGGTTTTAATTCTCCAAATACAATTACTGTTCTAACATAATATAAAATGTGAATTTTTCAAATTTTTGTTCCAATCACATTAACATATAAGTTGAAAATCGAGAAATTACACTAATCAGTAATCAAGAAACATAGGGGCAGCATTACTTGAGTCCACAATGAGGTAATTTGTTTTCCTCCTCAAATCAACATTACCAACTCCCGCTAGCAAAAATCCAGTGATAGTGTCCTACACGAAACATATGCATCGTTAGTGAAAATACATCATGGGCCAGAAAAGGAAAGCCTTTTAGTGCAAACTATTATTACTGACTTCATATCAAGGTAATCATATAGAAAAATGATTTTCTGCATCTTTTGGGACCTTTTAAAGGGACACAAATTTATGCTCTGTCGAAATAATTCAACCTAGAATCAAGCATCTATATGATCCCTCCTAATAAGAACCTGATTTAACTATAAAATCAGTGGAAAAACAACAAAAATATATAATAATGGTTACAGATAAAGCTATACCACCATTCAAATCCAGAAAAAAGAGGGGAACGGCACGACGAGAAAACTTCATAATTACTGACTTCATATCAAGGTAATCAAATTCATATTGAAAAATGCATTTTCTGCATCTTTTGGGACTTTTTTTAATAAGGCACACAGATTTATGCTCTCCCAAAAGAATTCAAACAATAATCAACCATGTACCTGATTCCTCCTAAAATAAACTTTTTGAAATAAAATCAATTAAAAAACAACAAAAATACATAATAACGATTGAAGATAAAGCGAGAAAAAATGAGGGGGAAATACGATGAAAAAACCTTAAATACAGACCTCGTCAGCAATCATGGCTATAAGGGCTGAGCTGGTTGTGCGGATCTGTGGTTTGTTCGCCATTGATGAAATGAACTCCAAGAACAGATAACCTGCTAAATATGCTGAAAATCAATACGCTAATCAAATTAAATCTATTGAAACGAAAATTTAACTAAAATTAAATTGATTTCCATTAACATCTCAAAATTTGGGAAATCAACGATCTCACCTTCTGGAGATGATGATATTCAGTTCGGATCGTATGGACTGTGGAGGTGGAGATGTGAGAAATGGAATACTAATATACAAAAACTAAAAGGAAATAAATAAAAGATATCGCAAATGAAAAGAATATTTGCATTTACGCACTCGAGTTTTCGGTAAATTAGAAAACCATCTCGACGGTTTAAGATAATTACAAACGCCTGACAGAAACACTATTCTTGATCGAAATATTAAGTTACAAATATCACCAAGCATATTACTATTGGACCTCGTATTTTCTTTCAACATTAACATTTGCTCCATCATTTACATATATGATCAATATCAATTATATTATTTGCATGACAAATCAAAATATATTATAATCTTTTAATTAAATAATATTTTTAATATTTAATCTCAGACTTCTTAAGTATGATGTTTACGCTGCCTCGTCCTAACAATGTTTTATAAGTTGATCTGATTCGTGATTTAAAGTATAATGATTTTATATGTATTGTAATTCAAGCGAGAAAATTTAAATGAATATCTTGACGCCCAATTTATTCAGGAAATGCACAGAAGGAAAATAGTTGTATACATAATTTATGTACATATGCAAGTGTACATCATTATGTATAAGAAATTATGTACATATTGTAAATATCATTTTTGTTGTGCTATTGGTAGATTTATCGAAGAGATGAGCTAGGCCGAACTGAGCTCATAATGCTCGAGCCTTTGTCGACCTGAGTTGAGCTTAATTTATTTATTAATATTATCGAGTTAAGCTCAAAACGAACTCAAGCACTAATCATCCGAGTTGTAGAAAATGACATAAAAATTCTTATTTTCAAGCATGACTCATTAACTAAACAAGCTTTTAAGCAAGTTTGAGCCCGAACCGAACCCACAAATAACTCGTTTTGTTTGACAGTTATATGGTAAATGACATAATTTATAACTCATTCCTTTTTATTTAAAGGAAAAACAAGAATTGATTGCACAAAAGGGGCCTTGATTTGCAAAAAATTTCAATTCATACTCAAAATCTAACTCAACTTTAATTCAACTACACTATTCTCAATATTTTTGATATAATTAACTAATATCAATAAATCATTCTTACCTATCACACCAATTTCACTCACATAATTTTAACTAATCATCATTTCACATCTTTTATCCTACTTTTACATCAAATCAACTTTAAATATTTTTAGAATATTATTTTAATCCAAACTCTAAATCTCACTAACAAGTAACAACTAACCATACCACATTTTTTCAAATTAATCTTGATTAATAAAAAAAATCCGTTTCAAGCGGATACATTTGTATCTACGCACACCCTAAACCAATCACCAAATATCAATCTCTACATTGTTAATTCAACCAAATGAGAGTAAAATTCTCCGTAGACATATCACACACAAGAGACAATGGTTAACATTTCCATCAATTGTTGTGGCAGAAAATTAACATATCATACACGTCGAATATTTGGATACAATATTCAAAGATTTCCGTTAAAAAGAATATGAAATATTTTGTTCCCATTCTATCCTTTTTCTTGAAGAGCAGAAATAACAATCTACCAACACTTGCATTTTTGGCACATAAGTTACTCACGACATCAAAACTCGTTCATTTAAAAAGAAGATAGAAAGCCTCCGAACAATTTTCCTCCTTTCCATTATTTCGACAAAACCATCACCCGTCTTGTATAGTTCACGACAATATCGAGCACCTATGGTACACAACAAAGCATAACAAAAACGCAACATAAAATTCTGCCCGTTTTTGCATTGACATGGCTGTACAATTTCACTGCCACAACTGTTCGAAACTTACGACACACCATCTCTCTCTAATCTCTTTAGACCGTTCTCGAATAAACTATGAGAACCATGAATAGATTGATACCAAACGTTTGTATATATGAANGAGAAGCACCTGAGATTTTGACCCGAGAAAAAACTCTTGTGATCAGTCAGTCACTCGGATCTTCTTTCGTCTTTCTGATTGCTGCTGTATAATGGTAATATCCAGCGGGACCCACGTTTTCTCCTCCCATAACACCGCCAGTAGAGCACTAAAATCCCAGCTACTACACCGAGAGGGATAGCCCATCTGTCGGGAAAATTTACACAAGCCTTAAAAGTTTGTATTATTTACAAAAAAGGGCCATTTTAATTTTTCCACAATTACAAGTAATCACCGTATTTTCCCCACATTCGAACTCTTCGTAATAAAAAGGGTACCGAAACTCTCCTTAAGGTTTGAAAATTTAGGTTGTGACTGGATTTAAGTTCAATAAAAAAAAAAATCAACCAGAACTCAAATTTACCTCAACTTTAACTCAGCCCACTATCCTCAATTTTATCCATATAATTAAATAATACTAATCAGTCATCCTTACACATCACATCAACTTTATTTCACTATCATTCACTCACATAATGTTAACTAACCATCACTTCACATCATTTCTCTTCTACTTTTACATCATATCAACTTTAATTATTTTATTTTAATATAAACTCAAAATCCCTATAACAACTAACCATACCACATTTTTTAAAATTACCTATGTTTAAGAAAAAAAAAAACTCGTTTTGAGCAAATATATTTGTATCCAAGCACACCCTAACTGTTCATAATAAAAAGGTTCTGGAACTCTCCTTAAGGTTTGAAAATTTTAAGGATGTCTCGATTTTTTCTTACCTGTCCAAATCAAGAACGGGGCTGTACACCACGGCTTCCCAAGTCCCGACAATAGCATGCCACACAGAGTTGTAATAAAGAGATTCGGAAGACCAAAACATTCGTGTATATGTCTCCAAGAATATAAATAGTATCCAAGCTCCAATTTCGACTAGAAAGAATTTTAAAATAAACCGACCCACAATCACCATCACAAGAGAGAAGCCCACCAACCAATTGAACAGCCTGTGATTGTACTCTTTTATGAATAAAGATTTCGATCTCCCCAACATCTGCATTTTTTTATTAATGCGAAAAAAAGTTATGAGAATCATCAAACATACGGCTTTTATAGTAATGGAAAAATAACAGAAAGTTTTGAAGGAAGTAAATATATTTTGTATGTATGTCTAACGTTAAGGTGATCAGGGCAAAATTGCACTTTTAATCATTTTAGTTTAATGTCATAGCAATTTGGTCTAAAGGTTCCAACATTTCGCTTTTGAGTATGCAATTTAATATTTTGCTGCAACCTCAATCTCAGTCCTTTGAGGACTGAATTCCCATATTTTCGATTAGCCATTTAAGTCTTGTAATTTTAAATTTTATTGCAATTCCAGTCCTGTAATTAAAATTTTGTTGCAAATTCGGTCATTTGAGGACTGAAATTGCAGCAAAATATTAAATCACAAGACCAAGTTGGGATCTTGGGACTAAAATTGTTATGCCGTTAAACCAACATGACTACAAATGCATTTTTGCCTAAAACAATGCACAATAGAAGGATTGATATGCATAGATAACTAATATAGAGAAGTTAAAAGTATACAAAAGGACACACAAAAGCATTTAGAGACCTTCATCATCCGCATCTCGTAATTACTTTTGGAGGGTCCAACACATTGTTTTTCGAAACTCTGATTGCATTGAAGGAACCCGGCGTTGAATTTGGCCATAGAAGGAAGTCTGAGGACTTGGAGTTGATCCATTTTCTCCTCGCAACTAGTATAAAGACCCTCACAAAGCTTTGAAGATTGGTACTCATTAGCTAGAACAAAGTTCTTGTATACCTTCACGGACCTCACGAATAAGCACAGTAAGTAAATTTCCGGAAAAAAAAAATTCTATACGAAAGTTTCTTAAAAATCAGTTTCTATATTACCGATTCGATTTCTTCAACTAACTTTTCAGCCGACAGCTTTGCATGGTGACGGCCAAAATGTTGCTCGTCAAAAGCTGACATGGCAGCTACTTTAGATCCTTCATGTGCTTGCTGTAGAGTATTCTCAGATATCGGAAAACCCAATTTACCCATACGGTCACTATACAGTTTCAAACAACGGTCAAGAATACCCTTATTGAAGACCTCAACAAGTGAACCTGTAGATGGAATTTCCCCTTTGTTTAAGGCCTCCAAAATCTGGGAGAGGAA